CGCGAGAGGTCGCTTCTTACGAGCGCATAAGGCAGTCAATGAGTGTCCTAGATAAACCTAGCGATAAAGACGAGTTTAAGAAATTCATTAATGCTCCTCCGAGATATATGCTAACTGCTAATCCGCTTAAATGGTGGTGTCGTGAGGAGCAGAGAGCCGAGTATCCACGCTTGCATTAGATGGCCCTTGACATACTTAGCGTCCTAGCGATGTCGGACGAGCCGGAGCGGGTGTTCTCTTGCACAAGGCGGACACTTTCTTGGGATCGAGCTCGACTTTCCGCGGATAGGACTAAAAAGCTGCAATGCTTAGGTAATTGGGTGAGGAACGATTTAATTCGCAAACTATACGTTGCGGTTGATAACGAGATTATGGATGTGGGCGGCGCTAACGGAGACGGAGATAAGCATTCAATGTTATACTAATAATTATTAATAAGCTTAATAATATATATTAATATAGCTACACTCCTAACAATATATAACAATATGCCAAAAATATGTATTTTGTTGGATCCACCTGTGCACTAGGCACCGATCGCGCACGTATAACTAATCGACCGCGCTAGTCACGTGCGAGTAAGAGGTGAGACACAGGGAGGAAGGTCTTTGCACACAGTTTGTATGGGACACGTTTCCTAGTTACACAAGATATAACCAATTGAACCAGTTCGAATAACCTCACTGCAGTGAAGAGCCTGTCCACACTGATCAGTGTCGCCCGGCAAAGGTGACACAGAACAGCAAGACGGAAGAGAGCTAACCTATCGTCACGCTCTGCAAAGCGAGCTCCTGACGGTAGGATAGTTGCTACAACGCGCGGATTGCTACGAAGACTCTGCATCAGAGCCCACTCTAGTTATCCAACCGTGCCTAAGCTTTGCTGTCATCAGCGACCCTTAGGCGTGCCCTATCGCACATTGATAACCTCATTGACACCCTGTGCCCTGTTTCTCAGCACACAGCCTGTCAATATGTCTGACAATTCATCTGCCGCACTAGCCCCGGCAACAGCCCAGGATACCCCGGCCAACGTGTCTCTCGAAGACAGGCAACTCGTTGAACGGAACCTGACGATCGTGGAGCTCCCTTCACTCCCGATCAGGCATTTCGACGCGGATTTCCTCAACGAACCTATCACCCAAAGCTCCTCCCTTGTCCACCGCAACAGCTTCTTCTTAGGCTGTGTGGCAACATACACGGTGGATAAACGTAACCACGGAATTGCCCTGCTTGGGGATCTGTATAACGACTTCACGGGATGGAGCTATGATGACTTCGAACTAATCAACCCACGCCTTAGATCAAGACTCCGGACGCTTCTCAGAATTAGGGATCTATATGGGCAAGGCCAACTCTAGCATCTCTCGAGCTTTATGTGGCCTTCTAACAAGTAACGAACTTCCTGAATGGGATGAGAACGAGTTGCTTGGTCAAGAGGTTGCTGAAAACACCGTGGCATATAAGGTGAAACAGAAGCTGCTCCAAGGAACTGTTAAAGCGGCTATATCGTCACCGGCACCGGTAGTAATCCAGCAGCCAACTATTACCCGACCGGCGGAACCGGAATCCCCTCAGATCATTGAGACCCATCAACCCGCTCAGCAAGAGCCTCAGCATCAATGGCGCGAATCCCTCGGTATCAGCAGAAGCCGCCGTACGGACTACCAACTTCCGAGATGCATACACGAGCATTCCACCTGTTCGATTCGAGAACGAGGAAGTTGAGGCCGATCTCACGATTAGATTCATTAAGATATGGGACAAGAAACTAGCCTATACCGGCGAACCATACGATATCTTCGATGACAAGATCCGGAAATTCATGAGCGTGTGCCGTCAAGCAAACATTCCTCCGTCTAAATTCCATGGTGTTTTCCCTTCGATTCTGGCAAGGAAGCTCAGTCCTTCTTTCTACACGAAATCAGCACTGATTTAACCTTCGCTGAGATGTATCAGAAGATGAAAGAGCACTTTGACACCGAAATCAACCAGAAGATGTATCATACCCACTGGAGCACCCTCACCTTCAGCCGACTTCGGGCTGAGATGCCCGGTAAGTCATCTGACGAGGTCCTCCAGGCCCTTCTTACGAAATTGCGGCTCTGTAGGAGAGCACTCGGGGATAAGTCTGGCGGCGAAGGTGGCCTGATCGATGCAACGCTCAGGGCGTGCCGTGGTGTGCCTGAATTCCGACTCGCGATATACTCTCCCGCACCTACATTTGAGGGATTGGCATCACAGCTTCGATCATCGCTATCTGCCATGCAAGATGAACGATCTGAACAACCCAGTGGCCAATATCCCCAAGACCTGGATAGAGGACATGATCAGCACTTCGTGGATCGCAAATTTCAGCGAAATTCCGGCGGAACAAGAGGTCAATCACAAAGGCGTCAGCCAAATTGGAAGAAGAAATGCTACGTTTGCGGCAAGGAAGGTTGTTTCTCAACGAGACATCCTGAAAACGAGAGAAAAGCAGCCAAAGAGAAGTATCTACGAGAGAGGCTTCCACGGTCAATCTCGTTCGTATGCTATGTTCTTGGCTGACTATGAAGGGGAATCACAGGATCAGGATGACTCGAGCACCGAGGAATCCGATGATTCTGACTCCTCTGACCCTTATGAATCGTTCTACGCTGCTGCGACCTTCTGTCCAACGAAGCTTTCCATCATCGGATCTCTCAGTAGGCATCAAGTTATTCAACAGTGACGAACCCACACAATTCATACTAGATCGTTACTCTCAAGACTCGTTCCAAGGAATCATGCCGGACACAGGTGCGGCATGCATATCGACGGAAGGAATCGAACAACTGCGTGCTCTCCAACGAGAGATGCCCCCAGTCCAATTCCGTGATGATCGCAAGCCCGAACCAGTTAGATTTGGTGCAGGAAGATTGGAAACACCACTTGGCGTGATCACCTTGAACACACCAGTGGGAGAGGTTGATTTTCATATAGTCAACGTGCCAACGCCATTCCTCCTATGCCTAGCTGATATGGATCGGCTCGGCGTATATTTAAATAACGTCACGAACGAGCTCGTTGGCAATGGTGTGAGCGTTCCAGTGATTCGAAGATGGGGTCACGCGTGGTTCTTCTTGCGGAAACAAGAGGCATCAGTGGCATATCTCACGGAGGCTGAATTGCGGCGCCTCCACACGCGTTTTGGTCATCCATCCGTGTATCGGCTGCACAAGCTGCTGAATTCGGCTGGCCATGATGTGGAAATCGAAGCTCTGGAAATGATCAAGAAGTTCTGCCACTACTGTCAGATGAAATCCGACCCGCCACGAAGGTTCAAGTTCAGCTTGAAGGATGATTGTGACTTCAATTACGAAGTCATCGTTGATGTCATGACATTGGGTGGCAGACCAGTCCTCCATGTTGTTGATCAAGCCACTGCCTATCAGGCAGGAGATTCCTATCCAACATGACGGCCAAGGAAACGTGGCTCGCGTTGAAACAATGTTGGATGGATACATACCTTGGACCACCCGATGTGATCACTCATGACGCAGGCACGAATTTCGCTGCTGCCGAGTTCCAAGCAGAAGCGAAATTGATGGGAATAACGTGTCATCAGGTGCCTGTGGAAGCACATTGGGCTGTTGGGAAGGTTGAGAAGTATCATGTGCCCGTCCGAAGAGCATATGATATATTAAAGGCAGAGCTGAAGGATACCGTGAGCCCTGATCAAGTCCTTCAAATGGCTTTCAAGGCTGTCAACGACACAGCCGGTCCGGATGGCCTCGTTCCAACCCTCCTCGTCTTCGGTGCTCTGCCTCGAATGACGATGGATTCGCCGCCTACACCTTCCGCAATGGCAAGAGCTAAGGCGGTGTGGCGAACGATGTCAGAGCTGAGGAAGATCAACGCCCAGAGGAAGGTTCAGACCGCGTTAAATACGCGTAATGGGCCTGATACAGCGTTGCGCCTGCCTATCCCTGGCGCTAGGAAGCGAAGTTCGCGTATTTCGCGAGAAGCACGGATGGCAAGGCCCATATAAAGTGCTCGAGGTGACGGATACGGAAATCGCAGTTGACCTGGACAACGGACCAGCGAAATTTCGCAGTACATGCGTCCAACCGTACTATCGTCACCCGGAATCGCTCCTTCCTCAGTTGCAACCCGACCCTAGCCCTAGCCGCACAGACCCATCAACACAACAATCACTCCTTCCCTCAACACAATCCGATCAACAACATCCTCTTCAAAACCCTCTTCCCCTTCCACCCACAACTCAACAACCTCTTCCTCTTCCTACCACAGAAGACCAACCCAAACCTTTCGAATACCCTGAGCCAAAGAGGCCGCGCAGGCGTGGCCGACCTAGGAAGGATGCTGCACAAAATGGCACATCAGAATCCACTATTGTTTGCTCACCCGTTCAATTTATCGTTCATCATGAAGCTAATGCGTTTCTTGTTCGAAAAGAAATGGAACATCTCGGCTAGCCAAGCGGCTACGAGCTGAAGGAAAGATCACAAGCACCGGTTTCCCATTTGAAGCTTCCGACACACTCGAGCTCACGAACCTCCTCGCCGCTGGGGTCATTGTACCCGAAGAATTCGATGCGAATAAACATGGTGGATATCGTGTCTTCAAATCACGAATGGTCAGAGAGGTTAAGGGAAGAAATACTGCAACGCCATACGAGAAATCACGCCTCGTTGTGCAAGGATACAATGATGATGGGAAACGTGGGATCCTCACACAAGCCCCTACCATCAGCCGGCCCGCACAACGCGTGGCCTTGGCCTTAGCACCGTTTCTCTGCACACGGGATATGTTCATCATGATCAGAGACATCACGATGGCATACACACAATCCCAGACCAAGCTGGCCCGTGTCATCCTTGCAGCCCTTCCTCAAGAACTCAAAAGAAGATATCCAGAGGAACAATCCTGCGAATCGTGAAGCCGCTATATGGCATCGCAGAGGCAGGAGCCCACTGGTTCAACACATATCACGACCATCACTGCCGCAAGCTTAATATGGAAACCTCTTCGTTTGACCCGTGCCTTCTGATCACGGCAAACAACATCGCCGACAAGGACCTGTTTGGCATCGCGGCCTTGCAAACGGATGACACATTCATTGTTGGCACAGATGCATTTCTCAAGATCGAGGAGAAAGAACTCTGCTTTAAGGCCAAGCCAAAGAGATTCTCCAAGAAGGTTCCATCTGCGACTTTAACGGCAGCCGCCTGACCATACAAAATGGCTGTGTCATCGTCAGGCAGAAGGGCCAAGCCCAAAACCTCGAGGAGATCAATCTTCAGGCATCAAGTAGGCATCAGGATTATGCTGCTCAACGCGCCCGGGGGGCATATATCGCTTCGATTTGCCAACCCGAAGCAACATACGATTGTTCCGTTGCGGCACAAGCCCAAGAGCCCGTTAATACCGACTTCAAGGCTTTGAACAAGCGGATTGAATGGCAGATCAACAATCCCGACCGTGGCCTATGTTACATACCCATCGATCTCGAGAGCGCGAAGATCTTTGTGTTCACCGATGGATCATTCGCCAACAATAAGGATTTAAGCTCTCAAATCGGCTTTGTGATTATCATCGCCAATGAGACCGCGCAATCAACCGATTCATTTTCCATCCGCGGAAACATTCTTCATTGAGCTCAACTAAATGCAAGCGCGTTACTCGAAGCGTTCTTGCATCAGAGATCTATGGATTGACATCGGGCTTCGATCTCGCATTTGTGATCAAGCAAACGGTCAATACGATCGCACAACGCCTTGATCTGAAGCAAATCCCGCTCGTCATTTGCACAGATTCATATAGCCTCTATGAGTGCCTCGTCAAACTTGGCACCACAACAGAGAAGCGACTCATGATAGATATCATGGCGCTGAGGCAGGCATATGAATCAAGGGATATTGCGGAAATCCGTTGGGTCAACGGCGCAGATAACCCTGCCGATGCTATGACGAAGGCATCACCAAACAGCGCCCTCACGCAGTTTATTAGCGACAATCAGCTAAACGAGGGTGGAAGGATTCGTTCATCGCAATAACACAACAATTCTCGACGAGATTTAATCGGTTTTTCGTTCCCTTCTTCTGCTTTACCGTCGTTCTTTTATTCCATTCACATTAACGAGGAGATCCTCGTGTCCATATTCCAACGTGGGACCGATGGAATCAGCTAGCGCATCCGGCGCTCGAAATGCGGCCCATGATGGCGTGTGGCAGAACACACCCAGTGTGGGGGAGGGAGAGCTACAGTCAGAGCACACTATCCAACATAGTGATGCATCGTGGTAGGAGTTTGTTGGTGTTCTTGTTCGTGTTTTCCTATCTCATCTTAATTCGCTGTGTTTGGTGTGTTTTTGGTGGATTGATTAGTGCGCGATCATCGATTTAGAAAGAGGTTCCAGTGTTGGATCCACCTGTGCACTAGGCACCGATCGCGCACGTATAACTAATCGACCGCGCTAGTCACGTGCGAGTAAGAGGTGAGACACAGGGAGGAAGGTCTTTGCACACAGTTTGTATGGGACACGTTTCCCTAGTTACACAAGATATAACCAATTGAACCAGTTCGAATAACCTCACTGCAGTGAAGAGCCTGTCCACATATTTATTTATTATTGCAATGTCTGCTGACATCATCGCCACTGTCGTCACTAGCGGGCGAACCAATGTCCTTTATTAGGTGGTCCATCGTCTTTCTCCTGCACCAGAGAAAAGAAGAGCAAGCCGTTCTGCAGAGCAAGAATAGGGGCTCCATCCCTCCTTCCTTCCATTCTTCCTGTTAGTCGGGCTTCCGCTTGGTCGGGTCCCAGTGTGTGTTAGTGCTCGCTCTCGCTCGTGCGTTGTGCTCCTCTTGTCGCGTGGGTGTTCGACTCGCTCTGGCTCGTGCGACTCCATTTCATTACGTGTGTAGCTCGACTCTTATCTCGCCCGTTCTCACGGTCACTTCGTTCCATGGTCACTCCTGTGGTCGTGGTGCGTACTACACTCTATTATAAACCACTATAACCGGTGTCTTAGTCTTGGCTGGTTAGCCAACATTAATATCTCCCCCTATAATAGAGAAGCGGACTGATAGTTATGCTAGCCTAGGGCGGCAAATCTTGCCCTACGTCTCCTACTAGAATCCACTTCTTTCTTTTGCCTCGCGTCTAATTTAGCCCGAAGGGCGTTCTACTCAGTCAGAAAGAATCGAGCATAAAACCTCCTCTGCTTGGCTAATTGGTCTCCCCTGTACTCAACTCGTGCGGGAATTGGTCGACCGCGAACGCCACCAAATAAAGGCCTTGGCACTGACCCCTGAGCGTTGACCCCTAAGCGTTGACCAGGTAACTAGCAAGCTCTCTAGGGGCTTTTAGTTCTTCTTTACTTCGATGCAATTCATTTGTCGAACTTCTAAACACGATTCTGGCCTAACGAGCCACGTGCCCCGTATTCCTTACACCAGCCTAGATAGCCGCTGCTTCCCTTTCTCGTCGAATCCATCAAACCCACCAGTTTGCTATAGGTATCCAGGTTCACATATCACCGCCGCAGCTGGCCTACCTCTTAATATTCCCCGGTTACCCTGCTTCCGGGAAGTAGTTCAGTTCCCTCCTGATTATTTAGACCCGATCTAACTGCTTTAGACAACCGCCCTATCGGGGTCTATCACGGTATTGGACATTGGCCCTCACAAAGCCTCACTTTCCGAGCTATACCTAGCGGTCTAGGTGTTAAGAGGTGGATATATACACGGTTACATGGAGCACGATATACCCTAGGCAGTCCGCAACTACCGTGCCTGCAAGCAAGACCTGCCCGAAGTCGAATTTCGAAGCGTAAAGGACACCACTAAGTTTACAGGATAGTGTGCTAGCTGTAGGGCACACCGAAAGGAACGGGTAACTAAGTCCAGAGCCGCCGTTGCCGCGATGCGAAATATCGCCTTAAGGCTACCACCACGCAAAGCCACGAAGAGAACTGATTCGCTAGCTAACCTGACGCCTCCAAGGCGGATTGCGCCAACCAGGCTTGCAAATAAATAAATCAACTTAAATCGGGCATCCGATTTAATTTGACTGGGGAACGGGAATCATCGATTTGATTTAATTTAATATGCCTTATATCCGATTTAGATTTATTTAGATATTTAGATAACCCCACTTTTCTCCTAAGACGATATACACTAAGCAGCACCAATTAGGTCTGCTTTAAGACGGCCTCTTTGTGCTAAAACCATCTGCCCTGCGAGGCTAAAGATGCGCTCCGGCTCGGAAGATATAGCCGGGATTAAAAAGAGATCAATTGCCATCCTAGACAGTCGTGGATACTACCGTCTTCGGAGAAGCCAATACTAAATAGGGTTGTCTACTAGACAATCGCCTAGATTAGTTATAGTAACCCACTCCGCGTATTCGTCTCGAGCGGCTAATGTCGACGGTATAGGCTATATACTAAGCTTCCTAACCGAGGCTATAAAATCATCTAGTTTAGTCGTCTTCCTTGCCACGGTCGGCTATTTAGGTATCGTATCCTGCTCGATGGAAATATTCCGATATTCACTCTATAACTCTTCTATAGCTGCCCTGCCTCTCGTTAACCACTCCGGATAATCAGCCTACTACGTCTCCACGGTTAACTAGCGAAACGTAGGATAAAGCACGAGAGTTATAAGGTAGGCGGGGCTATCCTTAGTAAGGGTATAGTATTAGTCTAGCTTTATCTAACCTAAGTTATAGCTAATCCGTAGATATAGTTCCTTATCCCGCTTATATCGAAGTTTTGATTCCTCGAGGTGCTTTAAGAGCTACTCTATCGTTAGCAGGACCTCCTAAGTCGCTCCGAATTTTCCTTCCTTAGGACGACCCTCTAGGCGTTTAGTGGCTATTTTTAGTGGAGTTAGTATAGCTAAGTACTCTGCGATTACTAACTAGTCCTCTATAGATATCCTATTATCGACTATTGCGGGTTTTTTCCGACTCTTCTTCGGCATCGGCTTTATTCCGTTCTAAGTTCTCTAAGATATATATTAGTTCTACTCTATAACTTCCGCCTAGACTAGGGAGTCTAGTATAATCCGAAGCCTAAAGCCTCGCTCTATTATAGCCTCGGACGAGTTCTATCGAGTAGCATTGTCTATAATAATATTATAAGTAGTGTGATTATCTAGGCCTAAGGCGATATTCTTAATAGACTGCAGCTTATAGAGCTTCTTAATGCGCTAGCTAGATCTTTGCACCTAGTAGACAATATTGTGCAATTTACTAATCGGACCTCTCGATCTCTAGAGTCTTATATCGTCTTAAATCTCTTTCTCCGCTTAATAGTCCTTCTCGAAAGCGTCTGCGTTTATTCCGAAAAGAATAGCCCGCGCGACGAGATTAATAATATAACTGTTAAGGAGAGAGAGTGGGCATAAGAGGCTACAGTCATGCTTAGTAGACCTAATAGTTATGCATAAGGAAGCCTGCCTAAACAACATGACTCCCCTAGCCTAAGGACACTATATAGGACTAACTTAGGTATAGGAATATCCTATTGCCCTCTTTTAGCTAGCTATATATGGTTACTATACCTATATAAGCCCCTCCCTTATCCTAATAGATAGACGAAGATATATATTACTAAATTTACCTTTCTATGCCCCTATTTCTTCTACTATGCTCTTAAGCCACTGCTTAAGAGTTATAAGCCTAGCCTGCACGGCTAGACTATCTTTTGCCCGCCGATATTACCTTTAAAGCTATTTACGAGCTATTAACGCCGTTATAACGCTTAAATTATAGTATTAAGGCAAGGAACCTAGCTATACTAAGGGGCACTATTAGAAATATACGAATTGCACGAATTACGTATCCCTTAAAGAAGGATATTACTTATTAAGCTAGAACCCCTTATTTTCCTAAGATAACGTTAAAGGAAGCAAGAGGGGATAATTATATCGTAAGACTAAAGGAAAGCCTCGATTAGACCCTATAGATTAGGGGGATTAAATCGTGGGCCTAGACTTACGAGATTTAGGAATATGCTAACCTAGACGGTATAAAGGAGCTTAAATAGCCCTAATAGCCGGACTAGGAGCAATTTATTATTAACCTTAGAGGGAGACTATCCTAACGAGAAGATAAAACCGAGGCTGCGTTCCTAGCGAGGCGAATAGGCTATAACGAACGATACTAGGATGTAAAGGACTCCTTTCGCAACCTTAAGAAAAGGTTCTAGCTATAATTCGATCGCTATAAGGTCTAGCAGAAAGCCCTAATCGCACTCGAAGAATTAATTAAGAAAACGATTAGTAAAGGGCTTTAGGGGACAACCTTAATATATAATAGCCTAAGAGAGAAAATCAGGGAATTAAAGAAGCAAGCCCTGCCTTTAGGGGCAGAGGAGAAAAAGCTGATTTACGAGAGATACACGACCTCTATTAATAAAAGAAGTATACGAGACTAGAAAGCATAGGCAGAATAGCTCGACTAAATTATTATAGATTTACGAGACCTTAAGGTCGATATACTTAACGATATAAGAATTAGATAGGACTTTCTTATAGCGGTAGACGAGTAGGACCTATATTAGTCTATAATAATAAGGGCTCTTAACCTCTATAACGAAAGACACGGTAAAGATTAACTTCCCCTAAGGAACCTAATCGCTAACTTTAA